GAAGTTACGTATTGCTGCAGCGTGACGACAAGCTTCAGCAGCGTAACGACAACCTCCAGCAGCGTGACGACACTTCCAGCAGCAACGAGACAATCTCCAGCAGCGTGACGACAACCTCCAGCAGCGTGATGACAATCTCCAGCAGCGTGACGACAACTTTCAGCAGCGTGACGACATTCTCCAGCAGTGAGACGACAACCTTCAGCAGAGGGCAGACAACCTCCAGCAGCGTGACGACAACCTTCAGCAGCGTGACGACAACCTTCAGCAGCGTGACACAACCGGCGTGACGACAACCTTCAGCAGCGTGACGACAACCTTCAGCAGCGTGACGACAACCTTCAGCAGCGTGACGACAACCTCCAGCAGCGTGACGACAACCTCCAGCAGCGTGACGACAATTCCAGCAGCGTGACGACAACCTTCAGCAGCGTGACGACAACCGGCAGCGTGACGACAACCTTCACGTGAGACTAACCTTCAGCGTGACGACAACCTCCAGCAGCGGACGACAACCTCCAGCAGCGTGAAGCAACAACCTCCGCGCGTGACGACAACCTTCAGCAGCGTGACAACATCAAGAGCGGATGACAACCCCAGGTGACTACAACCGCCGTAACGACAACCTTCAGCATCGCGACACAACCTCCAGCAATGACGACAACATTCAGCAGCGTGACGACAACCTTCAGAAAGCGACGACAACCTTCAGCGTGAAGACAACTCCAGCAGACAACCCCAGCGTGACGACAACCTTCAGCAGCAGTGACGACAACCTTCAGCAGCGTGACGACAACCTCCAGCAGCGTGACGACAACCTCTGCGCAGCCTGGACAACCTTCAGAAGCGTGACGACAACCTACAGCAGCGTGACGACAATCTCCAGCAGCGTGACGACAACCTCCAGCAGCGTGAGATGAAAATTCCAGCAGATGACAACTTTCAGCAGCGTGACAACCTCCAGCAGCGTGACGACAACCTTCAGCAGCGACACAACCTTCGCAGCGCGTGAGACAATCTCCAGCAGCGTGACGACAACCTTCAGCAGCGTGACGACAACCTTCAGCAAGTGTGACGACAACCTTCAGCAGAGTGTGACGACAACCTTCAGCAGCGTGACACGACAACCTTCAGCAGCGTGACATCAAACAGTATTACGACAACCCCCAGCAGCGTGACGACAACCTTCAGCAGCGTGACGACAACCTCCAGAGCGTGACGACAACCTTCGCAGCGGAACAACCTTCAGTGCGTGACGACAACCTTCAGCAGCGTGACGACAACCTTCAGCAGCGTGAAGAACACTCTTCATCAGCGTGAGACAACCTTCAGCAGCGTGATGACAACTCAACAGCGTGACGACAACCTTCAGCAGCGTGACGACAACCTTCAGCAGCGTGATGAAAACTTTCAGCAGCGTGACGACAACCTTCAGCAGCGTGACGACAACCTTCAACAGCGGCGACAACCTTCAGCAGGACGAAAACCTTCAGCAGCGTGATGACAACTTTCAGCAGCGTGACGACAACCTCAGCAGCGTGACGACAACCTTCAGCAGTGACGACAACTCAACAGATGACAACCTTCAGCAGCGTGACGACAACCTTCAGCAGCGTGACGACAACCTTTCAGCAGCGTGACGACAACCTTCAGCAGCGTGATGACAACCTTCAGCAGCGTGATGACAACCTTCAGCAGCGGCGACAGCCAGCAGCGTGACAGCAACTTGCAAAGGTGACGACAAACCAGCAGCGTGACGACAACCTTCAGCAGCAGCGTGACGACAACCTTCAGCAGCGTGACGACAACCTTCATCAGCATGATGACAACCTCAGCAGCGTGACGACAACCTTTAGCAGCGTGACGACAACCTTCAGCAGCGTGACGACAACCTCTAAAGCGGATGACAACCTTCACGGCGACAACCTTCAGCAACGTGATGACAACCTTGAGCAGCGTGACGACAACCTTCAGCATCATGACAACAACCTTCAACAGCGTGACGACAACCTTCAACAGCGTGACGACAACCTTCAGCAGCGTGAAAATAATCTTCAGCAGCGTGACGACAACCTTCAGCAGCGTGACAATAATCATCAGCAGCGTGACGACAACCTTCAGCAGCATGACAACCTTCAGGAGCGTGACAATAACTTTCAGCAGCGTGACGACAACCTTCAACAGCGTGACGACAACCTTCAGCAGCCGTCACGATAATATTCTGCGATGACAACCTTCAACAGCGTGATGATAACCTTCAGCAGCGTGACGATAACCTTCAGCATCATGAAAACAATTTAAACAACGACGACAACCTTCAGGAGTGTGACGATAACTTTCAGCAGCGTGACGACAACCTTCAACAGCGTGACGACAACCTTTAGCAGCGTGATCATAACCTTCAGCATCATGAAAACCAACAGCATGACGACAACCTTCAGCAGCGTGACGACAACCTTCAACAGCGTGACGACAACCTTCAGCAGCGTGACGACAACCTTCAGCAGCGAGACGACAACCTTCAGCAATGTGACGACAACCTTCAGCAGCGTGACGACAACCTCCAGCAGCGTGACGAAAATCTCCGCAGAGTGACGACAACCTTCAGCAGCGTGACGATAATTTCCAGCAACGTGACGACAACCTTCAGCTGCGGACGACAACCTCCTGCATTGCGAAGACAACCTTCAGCAGCATGACGACAATCTCCAGCAGCGTGACGACAACCTTCAGCAGCGTGACTTAATCAGCGTGACTACAACCCTTCAGCAGCGTGACGACAACCTCCTGCAGCGCGAAGACAACCTTCAGCAGCGAGACGACAACTTTCAGCAATGTGACGACAACCTTCAGCAGGGATTTAATTCACAGCGTGACGACAACCTCGAGCATCGTGACGACAACCTCCAGCAGCGTGACGATAACCTTCAGCAGCGTGACGACAACCTCCAACAGCGTTACGACAATTCCAGCAGCGTAACGACAATCTCAGCAGCGTGACGACATCTCCAGCAGTTTGACGGCAACCTTCATGTGACGAAAAACTCGGCGTGATGATAACCTTCAGCAGAGTGGCGACAACCTCCATGACGAAAACTCAGCGTGACGACAACCTTCAGCAACGTGATGACAACCTTCAGCAGCGTGACGACAACCTTCAGGCGTTATGACAACCATCAGAGCGTGACAATAACTTTCAGCAGCGTGACGACAACCAACAGCGTGACGACAACCTTCAGCAGCGTCACGATAATATTCTGCAGCGTGATGATAACCTTCAACAGCGTGACGACAACCTTCAGGAGTGAAGATAACTTTCAGCAGCGTGACGACAACCTTCCACAGCGTGACGACAACCTTCAGCAGCGTGATGATAACCTTCAGCATCATGAAAACAATTTTAAACAGCGTGACGACAACCTTCAGCAGCGTGACGACAACCTTCAGGAGTGTGAAGATAACTTTCAGCAGCGTGACGACAACCTTCAACAGCGTGACGACAACCTTCAGCAGCGTGATGATAACCTTCAGCATCATGAAAACATCAACAGCATGACGACAACTCAGCAGCGTGACGACAACTCAACAGCGTGACGACAACCTTCAGCAGCGTGACGACAACCTTCAGCAGCCTCACGATAACCTCAAGCAGCGTGACGACAACCTCAGCAGCGTGACTTTAACTTTCAGCGTGACTACAACCTTCAGCAGCGTGACGACAACCTCCAGCAGCGCGAAGACAACCTTCAGCAGCGAGACGACAACCTTCAGCAATGTGACGACAACCTTCAGCAGCGTGACGACAACCTTCAGGAGCGTGACGAACCACGGCAGCGTGTCGACAATCTCCAACAGCGTGACGACAACCTCCAGCAGCGTGACGAAATCTCCAGCAGAGTGACGACAACCTTCAGCAGCGTGACGACAATCTCCAGCAGCGTGACGACAACCTTCAGCAGCGTGACGACAACCTTGCAGCGAAAGACAACCTCTGCAGCGCAAAGACAACATTCAGCAGCATGACGACAATCTCCAGCAGCGTGACGACACCTTCAGCAGCGTCACTTAACTTTCAGCGTGACTACAACCTTCAGCAGCGTGACGACAACCTCCTGCAGCGCGAAGACAACCTTCAGCAGCGGGACGACAACCTTCAGCAATGTGACGACAACCTTCAGCAGGGTGACTTTAACTTACAGCGTGACGACAACCTCGAGCATCGTGACGACAACCTCCAGCAGCGTGACGATAACCTTCAGCAGCGTGACGACAATCTCAGCAGCGTGACGACACTCCAGCAGCTTGACGACAACCCCACGTGACGAAAACTCAGCGTGATGATAACCTTCAGCAGAGTGACGACAACCTTCACGACGAAAACCCCAGCGTGACGACAACCTTCAGCAACGTGATGACAACCTTCAGCAGCGTGACGACAACCTTCAGCAGTGACAAAAACATTCAAGCGTGACGACAACCTTCAGCAGCGTGATGACAACCCCAGCAGCGTGACGATAACCTTCAGCAGCGTTAATTACCTTCAGCAGCGTGACGACAACCTTCAGCAGCGTGACGATAACCTCAGCAGCGTAATAATTACCTTCAGCCCATTATAAAATTCTTGAGCAGCGTGACGAGCACCTTCAACAGCGTGACGACAACCTTCAGCAGCGTGACGACAACCTTCAACAGCGTGGCGATAACCTAGCAGCGTGACGACAACCTTCAGCAGCGTGACGACAACCTCCAGCAGCGTGATGACAACCATTCAGCAGCGTGACGACAACTTGGTCAGCGTGATGACAAACCTTTAGCAGCGAGGACAACCTTCAGCAGCGTGACGACACACCTAGCAGCGTGATGACAACCTTCAGCATGGCGACAACGTTCAGCAACGTGACGACAACCTTGAGCAGCGTGACGACAACCTTCAGCAGCGTGACAACAACAATCAGCAGCGTGACAACAACCTTCAACAGGGTGACGACAACCTTCACCAGCGTGACAATAATCTTCAGCAGCGTGACCGACAACATTCAGCAGCGTGACAATAACCTACAGCAGCGTGATGACAGCCGTCAGCAGCGTGACACAATCAGCAGCGTGACAACAACCTTCAACAGCGGCGACAACCTTCAGCAGCGTGCAGCAACCTTCAGGAGCGTGACAATAACTTTCAGCAGCGTGACGACAACCTTCAACAGCGTGACGACAACCTTCAGCAGCGTCACGATATATTCTGCAGCGTGATGACAACCTTCAACAGCGTGATGATAACCTTCAGCAGCGTGACGATAACCTTCAGCAGCGTGACGACAACCTTCAGCAGCGTGACGACAACGTTCAGCAGCGTGACGATAACTTTCAACAGCGTGACGACAACGTTCAGCAGCGTGACGACAACCTTCAACAGCGTGAGGACAACCTTCAGCATCATGACAAACTTTCAACAATGTGACGACAACCTTCAGCAGCGTGACGACAACCTTCAACAGCGTGACGACAACGTTCAGCAGCGTGACGATAACTTTCAGCAGCGTGACGACAACCTTCAACAGCGTGACGACAACCTTCAACAGCGTGACGACACATTCAACAGCGTGAGGACAACCTTCAGCATCATGAAAACAATTTTCAACAGCTGACGACAACCTTCAGCAGCGTGACGACAACCTTCAACAGCGACGACAACGTTCAGCAGCGTGACGATAGATTTCAGCAGCGTGACGACAACCTTCAACAGCGTGACGACAACATCCAACAGCGTGACGACAACCTTCAACAGCGTGACGACAACCTTCAGCAGCGTGACGACAACCTTCAACAGCGTGACGACAACCTTCAACAGCGTGACGACAACCTTCAGCAGCGTGACAATAACTTTCACAGCGTGATACACGAGCAGCGTGACGACAACCGAGCAGCGTGACAACCTTCAGCAGCGTGACGACAACCTTCAGCAGCGTGACGATAAATTCTGCAGCGTGACGACAACCTTCAGCAGCGGGGACAACCTTCAGCAGCCTGACAATAACGTTCACCAGCGTGACGACAACCTTCAGCAGCGTGACGACAACTTTCAACAGCGTGACGATACCACCTTCAGCAGCGTACAACAACTTTCAACAGCGTGACGACAACCTTCAACAGCGTGACGACAGCCTTCAGCATCGTGACAACAACTTTCAACAGCGTGACGATAACCTTCAGCAGCGTGACAACAACTTTCAACAGCGTGACGACAACCTTCAGCAGCGTGACAACCTTCAGCATCGCAGACAACAACTTTCAACAGCGTGACGACAACCTTCAACAGCGTGACGACAGCCAAGCAGCGTGACGACAACCTTCAGTAGCGTGACGACAACCTTCAACAGCGTGACGACAACCTTCAGCAGCGTAGAGACAACCTTCAGCATCATGACAACAACTTTCAACAGCGTGACGACCAACTTCAACAGCGTGACGACACCTTTAGCAGCGTGACGACAACCTTCAGTAGCGTGACGACAACCTTCAACAGCGTGGCGACCATCAGCAGCGTGACGACAACCTTCAGCAGCGTGACGACAACCTTCAGCAGTGTGATGACAACCTTCAGCAGTGACGATAACCTTCAGCAGCGTGACGACAACCTTCAGCAGCGTCACGATAATCTTCAGCATCATGAAAACGACAACGTTGATCAGCGTGACGACATCCTTCATCAGGTGACGGCTAACGTTCAGCAGCGTGACGACAACCTTCAGCAGCTTTCGACAACTTTCAGCAGCGTGACGACAACGTTAATGAGCGTGACAACAACCTTCAACAGCCTGACGACAACCTTCAGCAGCGTGACGATAATCTTCAGCAGCGTGAGGATAACCTTCAACAGCCTGACGATAACCCTCAGCAGTGTGATGACAACCTTCAGCAGTGTGAGGAAAACCTTCAACAGCGTTGTGACAACCTTCAGCTTCGTGACGACAAACTTCAGCAGTGTGACGACAACTTTCAACAGCGTGACGATAACCTTCATCAGCGTGACGACAACCTTCAGTAGTGTGACGACAACCTTCATCAGAGTGACTACAACCTTCAACAGAGTGACTACAACCTTCAACAGTGTAGAGGCAACTTTCAACAGCGTGACGACCACCTTCAGCAGCTTGACGACAACCTTCAGCAACGTGGCGACAACTTTGAGCAGCGTGACGACAACCTTCAGCAACGTGGCGACAACTTTCAGCAGCGTGACAACAACCTTCAGCAGCGTGACGACAACCTTCAGCCGCGTGACAATAACCTTCAGCAGTGTGGAGACAACCTTCAGCAGCATGACGACAACCTTCAGCCGCGTGACAATAACCTTCAGCAGTGTGGAGACAACCTTCAGCAGCGTGAGGACAACCTTCAGCATCATGACAACAACTTTCAACAATGTGACGACAACCTTCAACAGCGTGACGACAGCCTTTAGCAGCGTGACGACAACCTTCAACAGCGTGACGACAACCTTCAACAGCGTGACGACAACCTTCAACAGCGTGACGACAACCTTCAACAGCGTGACGACAACCTTCAGCAGCGTGACAACAACCTTCAACAGCGTGATGACAACCTTCAACAGCGTGACGACAACCTTCAACAGCGTGACGACAACCTTCAGCAGCGTGACAACAACTTTCAACAGCGTGATGACAACCTTCAGCAGCGTGACGACAACCTTCAGCAGTGTGACAATAACTTTCAGCTGCGTGACGACAGCCTTGAGCAGCGTGACGACAACCTTCAGCAGCATGACGACAACCTTCAGCAGCGTGACGACAACGTTCATCAGCGTGATGACAACCTTCATCAGCGTGACGACAATCTTCAGCAGCGTGACGACAACCACCAGCAGCGTGAAGACAACCTTCAGCAGCGTAACAACAACCTTCAACGTTACGACGGTTTCAGTGTAATGACAACTACATCCTTCAAACAAGGAATATGTCTCTGCAAGATGTTTTTTTAAGATTAGCCCACCGGGGCACAGGGCACTGACTCACATCACGGCCTGGTAGTAATAATAATAATAATAATAATAATAATAATAATAATAATAATAATAATAATAACAATAATAATATTAATAATAATAAAAATAATAATAATAATAATAATAATAATTATAATAATAATAACAATAATAATAAAAATAATAATTATAATAATAATAATAATAATAATAATGATTATAATATTAATATTAATAATAATAATAATAATAATAATAATAATAATAATAATAATCATAATAATTATTATTATAAATATAAAAATTATAAATAATTATAATAATGATGATGATGATGATGATGATGATGATGATAAATAATAAAAATTATAAATAATAATAATAATAATAATAATAATAATAATAATAATAATAATAATAATAATCATAATAATTATTATAAATATAAAAATTATAAATAATAATAATAATAATAATAATAATAATAATAATAATAATAATAATAATAATAATAATAATAATAATAATAATAATAAAAATAAAAATAATAATAATAATAATAATAATAATAATAATAATAATAATAATAATAATAATAATAATAATAATAATAATTATAAATAATAAAAATTATAAATAATACTAATAATAATAATTATAATAATAATAGTAATTGTAAACTACGACAACAACAACAACAACAACAACAACAACAACAACAACAACAACAACAGCAATAATAATAATAATAATAATAATAATAATCAATAAAAATTATAATAAAAAATTATATAATAAAAATAATAATAATAACCTTAAATAAAAAAAATCAAGAGTGAGAAACTATATACAGTATGTATGATGTGTCGTCAAAAGGAAGAGAAACAACTGAGACCCTGCAATTGTGTGTAAATGAGGTAGAAAGTCAGATAAGCAATCTGGGACTTGGTCACAATTTTCGTGATGCCATATGGTAGCAGGGTCTACCATTAGACAACACATTATGCTTCCAATATCTTCCCAGGCGGTAGTACCTCCCTGTTTGATAGCTGCCTACTGCAGGGAACATGGCTACCCAAGATGGTAAGTGTCAGGCAGGGAACATACTGTACAACTTTAATTATTCCCTCTTGTTAATACATTGTTTTATATTATACTTTTTTCATTTTACGTTTTCCTTGTTGCATTAACATTTTGACTGTTGTTTTTATCCTGTTATTTATTAAATATTAAAATGATAATAATCAGTCAGTATTTTTATAATGTTATATTAAGATGAGTCAACAAACAGTAGAGTAAAAATATCTCGTTACATATGAACACAAGTCCCGCTGCTCTGCCTCTTTCTGCAAAAATCTCTTGGATATCTTTTTCTGACATCTCATTAAGTGATAAAATCTCCGGAGCAGTAAAATTATTCCACTAGTTCCGAACTCCGCAGTTTCTCAAGAAACTTCCTTGTCTTTTTCTGCATTTATTACAAACTTTCCTCACATGCCGGCTCCTGCAGATTCTTGCTAACTCTGCAATTCTTTTTAAAGAACTGTCAAACTCTGGTACCATGCCAGTATAGGGATCACATCACCATTTCTGATATCGATCGACTCCTAATAATGTATAATCAAATATGTCACAGAAATAGAAGGAATTTAAATCTGATAACTGTTCAATAATAAAGTATATTACACCATGTATAAATAAATTACTTTTGTTTATATACCTAAAAGGAAGGGTCGGAAACACTGTTGAAGACAAGAACGGAAGTAATATGCTTGGATGACCCAATGGCAGATGACCAGCCTGTGAGTCACGGTGTTTATATATCTGAGAATAAGTCTTCACTGTTGCTTCGGAACCCATATACGAGGTTTCCAGATCGTATTCGAGTTGGTCATAACTAAATATATCCCCAGGCCATGAGTTCCTCTACTTCATAAACGTGATATAAAATATAAACTAGTTAGTAAGAAGTGTGATGGCTGGCAAACTTGTTTCTCCCTGAATTCATTACAATTAAGTGACCTGGTCATGAAATTGTTTAAGGCGTGTATGATGCATTACTTACTTTAACGGTTGTAGAATAAAGGCTGAACATGTACTGATAAAGGCTGAACCTGTACTGGCAAAGGTTGAACCTGTACTGGCAAAGGTTGAACCTGTACTGGCAAAGGTTGAACCTGTACTGGCAAAGGTTGAACCTGTACTGACAAAGGCTGAACATGTACTGACAAAGGCTGAACCTGTACTGACAAAGGCTGAACCTGTATTGGCAAAGGTTGAACCTTTACTGGCAAAGGTTGAACCTGTACTGACAAAGGCTGAACATGTACTGACAAAGGCTGAACATGTACTGACAAAGGCTGAACCTGTACTGGCAAAGGTTGAACCTGTACTGACAAAATGAACAACGGCTGAACCTGTACTGACAAAGGCTGAACCTGTACTGGCAAAGGTTGAACCTGTACTGACAAAGGCTGAACATGTACTGACAAAGGCTGAACCTGTACTGGCAAAGGTTGAACCTGTACTGACAAAGGCTGAACATGTACTGACAAAGGTTGAACCTGTACTGGCAAAGGTTGAACCTGTACTGACAAAGGCTGAACCTGTACTGGCAAAGGTTGAACCTGTACTGGCAAAGGTTGAACCTGTACTGACAAAGGCTGAACATGTACTGACAAAGGCTGAACCTGTACTGGCAAAGGTTGAACCTATACAGACAAAGGCTGAACATGTACTGACAAAGGCTGAACCTGTACTGACAAAGGCTGAACCTGTACTGACAAAGGTTGAACATATACTGACAAAGGCTGAACCTGTACTGACAAAGGCTGAACCTGTACTGTCAAAGGTTGAACCTGTACTGGCAAAGGTTGAACCTATACTGACAAAGGCTGAACATGTACTGACAAAGGTTGAACATGTACTGACAAAGGCTGAACCTGTACTGACAAAGGTTGAACATATACTGACAAAGGCAGAACCTGTACTGACAAAGGCTGAACCTGTACTGACAAAGGCTGAACCTGTACTGACAAAGGCAGAACCTGTACTGACAAAGGTTGAACCTATACTGACAAAGGCTGAACTTGTACTGACAAAGGCTAAACCTGTACTGGCAAAGGTTGAACCTGTACTGGCAAAGGTTGAACCTGTAATAACAAAGGCTGAACTTTTACTGACAAAGGTTGAACCTGTACTGACAAAGGCTGAACCTGTACTGACAAAGACTGAACCTCTACTACCAGAGGCTGAACCTGTACTGACAAAGGCTGAACCTGTATTAACAAAAACTAAACCTCTACTACCAAAGGCTGAACCTGTACTGACAAAGGATGAACCTGTACCGACAAACGCTGAATTTGGACTGATTAAGGCTGAACCTGTATTGACAAAGGCTGAACCTCTACTACCAAAGGCTGAACCTGTACTGACAAAGGCTGAACTTGTACTGCAAAAGGCTGAACCTGTATTGACAAAGGCTGAACCTGTACTGACAGAGGCTGAACCTGTATTGACAAAGGCTGAACATGTAGTGACAAAGGCTGAACATGTAGTGACAAAGGCTGAACATGTAGTGACAAAGGCTGAACTTGTACTGCAAAAGGCTGAACCTGTATTGACAAAGGCTGAACCTGTACTGACAGAGGCTGAACCTGTATTGACAAAGGCTGAACATGTAGTGACAAAGGCTGAACCTGTACTGACAGAGGCTGAACATGTACTGACAAAGGCTGAACCTCTACCACGAAATGCTGAACCTCTACTGACAGAGGTTAACCTGTACCGAGAAAGGCTGAACCTCTACCACGAAAGGATTCATAAGCGGGCGTTCATGTGTAACTAATCAATTAACATTCTTTTCATCAGTTTTTGAATCGGTGGACGAGGGGCACAATTATGATGTGGTATATCTCGACTTAAGCAAAGCCTTCGACAGAGTCCCCCACGAAAGACTAATAAGAAAGGTAGAAGCACATGGCATCAAAGGTAATATCCTTAAATGGATTAGGGCGTGGTTAGAGGACAGGAAACAGCGGGTGAGCATTAACGGCACTACGTCCCATTGGAGCAACGTCACTAGTGGAGTTCCCAAGGCTCAGTACTTGGACCATTATTATTTATTATACACATAAACGATATAGATATCGGCATAGGCAGCAACATAAGTAAATTTGATGATGACACTAAAATAGGACGTGTTATTAAATCTGACGAGGACTCCGCAAACCTACAGGAAGATCTAAAAAAAAATTTCGAATGGTCTGAGAAATGGCAGATGAAATTCAAAGTGGACAAATGTAAAGTACCCAGTATAGGAGATGTAAACAGGGAAACCAGATACCAGATGAACAAAGATGCCATAGAGAAATCCGACTGCGGGAGAGATTTAGGAGTAATGATAAGTAGGAACCTTAAGCCAAGTAAACAATGTGTTTTTGCTCGTAACAAGGCTAATAAAGTACATGGGTTCATACAAAGGAGTGTTCGTTACAAGACTAGCGAGGTCATCCTAAAACTGTATCTTGCGCTTGTGAGACCACACCTGGATTACGCAGTTCAGTTCTGGTCACCGTATTACAGAATGGATATAGAATCCTTGGAAAGAATTCAGAGGAGAATGACAAGACTAATCCCGGGCATTAGGAACCTTGAGTATAGAGACAGGTTAAAGCATCTTAATTTGCACTCCCTCGAGAGACGAAGAGCGAGGGACGACCTGACAGAGGTGTATAAATGGAAGTCAGGGCTAAACAAAGGCGACATTACAAAGGTACTCAAACTATCCAACCAGGAGCGAACTCGTAACAATGGTATTAAGTTAGACAAATTTAGATTTAGGCGCGAAATAGGTAAACACTGGTTTGGAAACAGAATAGTGGATGAATGGAACAAGTTACCAAATATCATCATTATCTCGAATACGCTGAATAACTTCAAACATAGGTTGGATGCTTATATGACCAATAGGAATTGGGTGTAAACGGGACTGCCCAGTATGGGCCAATAGGCCCGCTGCAGTTTCCTCCATTCTTATGTTCTTATGTTTTTATGTTCTCTACTGACAGAGGCTAAACCTATACCGACAAAGGCTGAACCTGGACTGACAAAGGCTGAACCTCTACCACGAAAGGCTGAACCTCTACTGACAGAGGATGAACCTATACTGACAAAGACTGAACCTCTACTACCAAAGGCTGAACCAGTACCGACAAAGGTTGAACCTGTACTGACAAAGGCTGAACCTCTACTGACAGAGGCTAAACCTGTACCGAGAAAGGGAGAACCTGTACTGACAAAGGCTGAACCTCTACTACCAAAGGCTGAACATGTAATGACAAAGCTGAACCTCTACCACGAAAGGCTGAACCTCTACTGACAGAGGATGAACCTACTGACAAAGACTGAACCTCTACTACCAAAGGCTGAACCAGTACCGACAAAGGTTGAACCTGTACTGACAAAGGCTGAACCTCTACTGACAGAGGCTAAACCTGTACTGACAAAGGCTGAGCCTGTACTGACAAAGGCTGAACCTGTACCGACAGAGGCAGAACCTGTACTGACAAAGGCTGAACCTGTACTGACAAAGACTGAACCTCTACTACCAAAGGCTGAACCAGTACCGACAAAGGCTGAATCTGTACTGACAAAAACTGAACCTCTACTACCAAAGACTGAACTTGTACCGACAAAGGCTGAACCTGTACTGACAAAGGCTGAATCTGTACTGACAAAGGTTGAACATATACTGACAAAGGCTGAACCTGTACTGACAAAGGCTGAACCTGTACTGGCAAAGGTTGAACCTGTACTGGCAAAGGTTGAACCTATACTGACAAAGGCTGAACATGTACTGACAAAGGTTGAACCTGTACTGACAAAGGCTGAACCTGTACTGACAAAGGTTGAACATATACTGACAAAGGCAGAACCTGTACTGCTGAACCTGTACTGACAAAGGCTGAACCTGTACTGACAAAGGCTGAACCTGTACTGGCAAAGGATGAACCTATACTGACAAAGGCTGAACCTGTACTGACAAAGGCTGAACCTGTACTGGCAAAGGTTGAACCTGTACTTGAACCTGCTGAACTTGTACTGACAAAGGCTGAACCTGTACTGGCAAAGGTTGAACCTGTACTGAACCTGTACTAACAAAGGCTGAACCTGTACTGACAAAGGTTGAACCTGTACTGACAAAGGCTGAACCTGTACTGACAAAGGCTGAACCTCTACTGGCAAAGGCTGAACCTGTATTGACAAAGACTGACCCTGTACTGACAAAGACTGAATCTCTACTTCCAAAAGCCTGAATCAGTACCGACAAAGGCTGAACCTTTACTGACAGAGGCTGAACCTTTACTGACAAAGACTGAACATGTACTGACAAAGACTGAACCTCTACTGACAAAGACTGAACATGTACTGACAAACACTGAACCTGTACTGACAAAGGCTGAACCTTTACTGACAGAGGCTGAACCTTTACTGACAAAGACTGAACATGTACTGACAAAGACTGAACCTCTACTGACAAAGACTGAACATGTACTGACAAACACTGAACCTGTACTGACAAAGGCAGAACCTGTACTGACAAAGGCTGAACCTATACTGACAAAGGATGAACCTGTACTGACAATGGCTGAACCTTTACTGACAGAGGCTGAACCTTTACTGACAAAGACTGAACATGTACTGACAAAGACTGAACCTATACTGACAAAGACTGAACATGTACTGACAAACACTGAACTTGTACTGACAAAGTCTGAACCTGTACTGACGAAGGCAGAACTTGTACTGGCAAAGGCTAAACCTGTACCGAGAAAGGGAGAACCTGTACTGACAAAGTCTGAACCTGTACTGACAGAGGCAGAACCTGTACTGACAAAGGCTGAACCTGTACCGACAGAGGCAGAACCTGTACTGACAAAGGCTGAACCTGTACTGACAAAGACTGAACCTCTACTACCAAAGGCTGAACCAGTACCGACAAAGGCTGAATCTGTACTGACAAAAACTGAACCTCTACTACCAAAGACTGAACCTGTAGCGACAAAGGCTGAACCTGTACTGACAAAGGCTGAACCTCTACTGGCAAAGGCTGAACCTGTACTGACAAAGACTGACCCTGTACTGACAAAGACTGAATCTCTACTACCAAAAGCCTGAATCAGTACCGACAAAGGTTGAACCTTTACTGACAGAGGCTGAACCTTTACTGACAAAGACTGAACATGTACTGACAAAGACTGAACCTCTACTAACAAAGACTGAACATGTACTGACAAACACTGAACCTGTACTGACAAAGGCTGAACTTGTACTGACAAAGACTGAACCTCTACTGACAAAGACTGAGCATGCACTGACAAAGACTGAACCTCTACTGGCAGAGGCTAAATCTGTACCGACAGAGGCAGAACCTGTACTGACAAAGGCTGAACCTATACTGACAAAGGATGAACCTGTACTGACAATGGCTGAACCTGCACCGACAAAGGCAGAACCTGTACTGACAAAGTCTGAACCTGTACTGACAAAGGCAGAACTTGTACTGGCAAAGGCTGAACCTGTACCGACAAAGGCAGAACCTGTACTGACAAAGGCAGAACTTGTACTGGCAAAGGCTGAACCTGTACCGACAAAGGCAGAACCTGTACTGACAAAGTCTGAACCTGTACCGACAAAGGCAGAACCTGTACTGACAAAGGCAGAACCTGTACCGACAAAGGCTGAACCTGTACTGACAAAGTCTGAACCTGTACCGACAAAGGCAGAACCTGTACTGACAAAGTCTGAACCTGTACTGACAAAGGCAGAACCTGTACCGACAAAGGCCGAACTTGTACTGACAAAGACTGAACCTCTACTGACAAAGACTGAACATGCACTGACAAAGACTGAGCCACTACTGACAAAGACTGAACCTGTACTGACAAAGGGTGAAGCTGTACTGACAAAGGCCGAACCTTTACTGACAAAGGGTGAAGATGTAGGCACACTGATAAAGGCTGAACCAGTACTGACAAAGCCTGAACGGCTACAAAACGCTTAAGGCGGTGTGGGAAGTTCCTCACTTTACAGTTGAGGAATTCAAATTATTTTTTATCCTATTTAATCTATTCTTCTCTCTCTCTCTCTTTTTACAGACTACTGAATTAATTACCCAAGGGAAGAGATTTATAATATCTGAACCACATTACGTAAACTTGGTTTACTTTTAGCCAAGGTAATTTATTCAATGTTTCAAAATAATGCTGCCCCATAAAACTGTTTACAACATCCTCGTCCCAACAAACTCCACCTCAAAAAAAGACAGTTAGGAATTATTCATCATAATATTACGTTGTGAAATTACATCAAACTTGTAATTAACCATTTTATAGATTTTCATTTCAAATGTATAAAGTCGTGATAATTCATAATCATTTATTCATGAATGTGTGGATTATACTGTACATGTTAGAGGAGTCATGGTACCAGTGGGAAGAGTGAGAGCATGTATAATATGTATAATATACGGTTTGACGCTATATGAATTAAAGACAATGACAGAAAATGTGTTCAGTAAGGTGAAGGCGACGATGCTTCATGGTGAGAAGTAGTTGGAGACGAACAGTGCTGGTTAAAGGTGATGTGTGTTCAAGTGTTTATGATAAGAAGTGAGAATTAAAAGAATCAGGGACGAGGAAGTCACTAAAGGTATCTGTATGACTTATAAAACAACTGAGTAAGGTCGACTGAAGGTACTGTAAGTCAGAGCTAACAAGCGGAAGTATAGATAAACCAACATAACGCCAAGAAGCTCCGCCCACACTACGCTATATAAACAAAATTTGAATCTTTCTCGTGAAACCCAACTTTGTCCATCAATCAGTGAAGGATCCATCATCGTGTCTGAGGATTGGCGACCCCGATCCCCTTCTCCTAATGTTTTTTTTCGGGTTTTATTTATCAATCCTCTTTGATTTTGATTGTCTCCGAGGGCCCAACTATTAGCTTCGTTCATCTACCTCAGCCTCTGTCTTCACCCGACCTTCCTACCAGTAATCTTATCCATTAATATTCTACCATTATTTCTGCTAAGGTTAGCTCTAGGTACACCTGATGCAACCCGATTAGAGAGTTGGTTTAGGGACAGATAAGGCAGTGGGTGAGGTACGACGGGTCTGATACCATTATCATTTCCATTAAAGGAAAAGTGGGGCCTGGTTAAACAGTGCCTCAATGCTCTTGGTGTATGCGAAACCAAGACAACTGCATAATTATATAAGCTAGTACTTCCTCGACTTTGGAGTGAATAAGCAATCTCTCGCTACACCATACTGAGCTGAGTGTATGTGTGACTGACAGTGATACCCAATGACAATTGAATAGTGTAAGAGATTAACTTAATTATTGCCCGTGGAAAAAATAACATTGTGCTTGCAACAAGAGCAATCTTGGCTGGCCTAGTGAACCTAAGTGGTTTTTTCCCCATTGAAATAAATGTATCAGTGGAGGAATTAAGGCTCTGATAAGCCAACCGATAGTAGTGTAATTAAACATGGCGGTCCCCAGGTTGACATACTCCGTCTTTACAACATTACTGTATATTGTGGCGTAAAAGTGGGCGAATGACTCATATGTCCATGTAAATTGCAAGTCCGTGTATGGAGACGTGTTAAATATATCTGTCCATATCTGTGAACCCTCACCGAACAGTTAATAAAGGTAATGAATGATTGGTTATGACAAGAGATAACCAATAACTGAGATAGATGGTGGAAATTTATGGAAGACATTAAATCATCATTTATTAAGTATACAACTTTTATTGAATGTTGGAAAGTGGAATGAAACTCTACGGTAGTGACATACTATTTAATCATATTGGTACAGCCTTTTCCACCTCCACCTGTGACAGTCAGTGTTGTTAAACTACCCTTCCCAAGCAGTGCGAGCCCCTGGAGTATCGACTCGTGGATCCGAAGCATTCACGAATGAGCAGGAGTGGGACAAGCTCCTGGACGACCCTCACAGCCCAGACCACCTACGCAGGGAAGACATCAACGGAGGGAGACCCCACGCCTGGTGGCCCCGGAGTCTGCCCGCACTACAACAACCCAACCCGCGACCCATCTATGTCCGCCACAGTGATCCACCTTAGATTAAAACTTAGATGATATAAGTTCACATTTAACAAGTCACAATCAAGTGATCCATAACGTAATACAGTATAAGATGTTAATAAACTTGTAATTGTAAAATCAATCTAGTCATTGTCTACTAAAATAACCATTGTGCAACCTCATTCTAAATCCTAGGTTAGCTTAGTTAGCCAACAAACTCTGTAATATGTAAAACAAGGGGTGTCGTCCCCCTCTGTTTAACTCATTAAACTTCTTTTCCAACCTTTCCCCCCACGACTATATGTTGTGACTTCTCCATCCCTCATGTCTGGCTGTGCCTTGAGCCCCAGCATGCCTTCCATCCTTTCCCCACCATAACCTAAAAAAAAAAAAAAAAAAGACTCGTGGATCCGAAGCATTCACGAATGAGCAGGAGAAGATGGGTGGGATGACTGGGGCCGGCAAGTGAGTGGGTGGTGAGGTAATATAACCTGTGGTATAATGGTCAGCAGGCTTGCCTCGCAAGCAAGTGGACCCGCGTTCGATCATTGGGCGAGATGAAACCATGGGCAAGTTTCTTTATGTCATTTGCCTCTGCCTACACAGCAGTAATTGGGAACCTGGATGTTAATCGATTTGTGGATCGTGTTCCAGGGCAATGGTTAGCCACTGCAGTTGGCGAGATGTAGTCTTCTTGGATTATTCCTTGACACTGGGTCATACTACTCGTTAACTTAGGGTATGGTTGTTGTGTTGGCGACAGCTTCTACACCTTAAACAAATTCATGCCAAGGTGGCCTTAGGGCCGGCCATCTTCAAACACGAGGGGCAACCATTATTATTATTATTATTATTATTATTATTATTATTATTATTATTATTATTATTATTATTATACGGGAGTTGACGAGGGTCAGAGTGTAGGGGGCGAGAGGGGTGGGGAGAATTAAGCAGTTACCTGCGCAATTACAACGCACGATATATTAAGCAAGGATATAAATATATAGGACAAAACACAAGGTATGGTGTAGATTGTATCACCGCACATTAGGATGGTATTCCCAGCTTGTGCTACAGGTCTGAAACATTTTATACATATTTACTGACCAGCATTCACCAGATAATAGGCCACAGTAATAACAAAACAATCCTCCTTCCCCCAAGTCGCACACACGAGCATCGGTCATGCAGTATTTCTCCACGTCCTTCCCTCCTGCTGCTGCTGAAACAACTTACTCCAGGGATGATAGGGGGATGGGCTGGGGCCTCTACGTATGATGCCCGTTTACGATGGGATTGCATTTATGATCCAACGAATAACGGATGCATTGTAATCTAATTACATAAGCATGGTCATATTAATAAAGTGCAATAAACAATAAAAACATACCCAGGAAGTTCTCAAACACAATTATTTTAAATAACAATACCATGTAAATAACACATCAGTGTGCAGGAGTTCTTTTTTTCTAGTTTTAATACAGATTACGATGTATCTGCTGTCTACTGGAGTATGAGGTGAGGTAGCGTCAGGAGAAGGGGGTAGAGGGGTGTCAGCATCTGGCACAGTTTCAGACACAGGCGCACCGTGTTTAGTAAGCAATCCTCATTATGTGAATGCAGATACTTTATAATTTGTGATGTTTCTTTAAGTTGGAAAATACTAACAAAACGTTATTGTCCGCTGTATTATGTGGACATGCAACTCTTATTGTTAACTTTCGGCAATACCTCCATGTGAAACGTTGTATGGGGAGAAATGTTATTCTTAAGGGTTTGTTGTATGCTAGAATACAATATTAAATCGTCTGATAGATTAAATGATATGATGGTATTGATAAGAAATGATGCATTAGCGTCGTATTATTCAAAAGTGGTTCAATTATAAATGGGGAAAATGGCAGCAATGCGGCTGGCCAGACTAAGGACATTGTCTCAGCTTCCTAGGCATTATATTGAATATGAGTAGGATGATTATAATTATATTGAGGAAGATTCCGTGTGTTATTTCTAAGCTCACCTCCAAGATAACGTAATATTAATTAGGTTATCTTATCAACTTTTACAAACTTCGATATCTGCATGAATGACTCATGACGGCTCTGAGCTTAACTGTGACCGTTCCCGCAGTGACCACCACCACAAACCACACTCACAATAAAGCCTAAAACTATCCACATTATTTCTAACAGGGAATATTAAAATTTGTATAATGAATATATAACAGCCATGAAATAAGCTGCATAATCACGCATGGAAAATTATTATTTGTAAAGGAGTTCGTCGTATTTGGAAATGTATGCGTCTAACTAAAACATGGTAAAAATCAAAGAGGGCAATCCGCCTCACCTGGCATTGGAACCACACCCTCCCCTATGGCTGAAGTGTTCGTCGCCAATATATATTGAATCAAACCCCTAACTGTGATATTAACGACTGTCCAAATAACGTTTCGGGTATCCGATTCAACAAAGGTTATAAACATGTTGTTGCTGTTGCTTATTGACTACTCCTTAACTATTCACAGTGAATATGAGACAACCAATCATGGGTAGACCGAGGCGTTTTTTTGTCCACCTGGCGTGAGACTGTAGCAAAGTGGACACAAAGATAGGAAAAACTGGAAACTTGACACAACTGGGTATGTATGGTTATGTATTAGCCCCAGTCTCATATTATATAAATATGGGTTAATATATGTGTATTATATAACGAGCTCCCCCTGTAAAATTCTGTAGCTGTGAGGTGACATGATTAGAGCACGTGAAGGGTAAATTCCACTCACAAGGAGTGTCCTCAGTATATCATAGATCAGGGGTTTTCAAACTATGGGTCCCGACCCTTCAGTGGGTCGCGAAAATAAATCAGAATATTTTTATTTTCATACAATTGGATACATATAATTCAAATATAAATGGATCATGAGAAATTTACATGAATTTTG